GCCAACTTCACACATCTTGAAAATTTTGCAAATTAATTTAAAGGTTAATATCGCGGGATGAACAAATAAAGTAATTTACATATTGCAATCGGCACTTGCAATCCAAGAAAATTACCAAAACGTGGTCAACATATGCAAAAATAGCTCTTACTAGCAATATGGTGATGAAATACTGCAAAATCAGTCGTAAACCGCACATAACATGTAAAATGAAACTTGGATATTGCATTATTTTCCTTGAAATTCTCAAAATTTTAGTACATTTTTCTCAATTGATTTTCCTGAAATGGTTTGGATCATCTGGAGGCGTGCAGCTTTCATATACTCTTTGGCTTTTTTAATATCTGTAAATGTAAAGTTTTTTATCAAATGTAATTAGGCCAGACTTAAAATTTATGTTACTCTCCAATATATATTCATCATTTAAAAATATAGTTTTATATCTACCTTTAGTTATACAAATGTATTATAAATATATCGACACTTATAAACATAATAAAGGTTTCATTTGGTTATAAATTGGCATCCTCCTTCGCCCAGATAGTATGCCAATGTCCTTTGGGTACCACTATGGGTCCCGTTTGTCTAGGTTATTGTGGAGAATACATTCCGTGAACGTTCTCAGCTTTGCTGACTTTTATTCCTATAGTTTCCGGTTTATATTTCTAAAAGCTCATATTTATATAATTTATAATATGTAAGATTGCCCTATAATCTATGTTTAATCACTATTAAGAAATCTATGTTTATCAAAAAATAAGTGTTGAATCATATTATAGATTACCTTCCAGCTTTACTGGTGGACGAAGACCTCATTTGCCACCCCGTGCATTTTTTAAGGGCGAACGGGCACCTGAGTAAAACCACCGACGTTCTGTTAACTAGATGATGAAAAAATACAAAGTTCTTGTCGGGATTCGAAAACGCAGCGATGAGGGACTAGTGGTTTGAAGTCAACGACCTTAACCACATAGCCAAGGACGCCCTGCTGTAAAAATATAAGGAAAGATAAACAAGGTTGAGCAAAGTTCATTGAACGCAGCCCCTTAAATACGCGCGATAAAAGAGACAATCGTTATATATCATTGTAAGAATAAGGCATATTCTGATAAACTTTCATGTTCAATTTCTTAAGAATTAGAGACAAGTCAAATTTATTTATTTCAATGTCACGTCTAACACAGAAATTCACCATGGAGAAGTCAACGTACACGGCCAACATAGCTCGAGGTCTGTATCATTTTGTGATTATCGAACCGATATAAATTATCAAAGCTTCAAAGCCTATCGCGGCATTTCCGATGCTACCTAAATATGCATTTGGTGTCGTCTAACGCTTTCTGAGAACATTCAAACAATATTTACAAATTTGTTGATGACAACGTTCAACGGACAATTGTATCAAAATTTGTTGATACTAACCTTATAAACGATATGCATGTCAGCGCTAAGTAAAATTATGCGTTTTGAAATGAATAAGAGAATATTCAATGAAAAAAGGACGGGTTTCCTGCTGTCTTATTTTCGTGTTTATTTAAAATGGTCCAACTTACAGAAATGTCAACGTACACGTAAAGTCAAGAAAATGTCAGCGTACACACTCACAATTTAGTTTGATAGTGGTCTGAACATGGGGCTGCAACAAAAAGTTGGCTGTCTATTTATATTACCCTCTTAAACTGTATATCAGTACTGGTTTATGCAAAGCAAATAGTTTCGAGTGCATTAATTTCACCGCAAATAATCTTTTTAAGCACGCTTTAATTCTTTTATGTTATTTATTTGTTTTTTTGATTTTTAGAAGATAAAATACCAGTTAGTTAGAGTGCTTAATGATTTGATGAACAGCAACATTCTACATTTGTATATTTTAAACTCTATTGATATGAATTGCTTAACAGTCATTTAATAACGTAAACAGCCAGGATTAACGTCTCTTCCTCAAGGGTCTAATGTTGACGATGACGCCGAGTTACAATTTTCATATAATATGATTCCTCAAGATTTTTTCTTTTATTTTTCTTTTTAAAGATTTGTTTGCTTAAAGAAAAAATAAAAACAATTAGAGCGTTGCCTCTACCTGGCGGCACTAGCTCTTGTTAAATTAAGAAGCTAATGCAATGTTGTTTGTTATCTAATAAAGAGACCAATTACAGTCTATTGTTACCGGATCAAAATTGTAAGGAGTTATTAAATAAGAAGTCTGTAAAAGGGACAAATATATTTTGAATAAAAAATCCAAATGTCTTATAGATGTCACTTGTAATCATTCGATTCGTGTGGTTAATTTATCTACACGTATATTTAGTAACAGAAAGAGCACCGAAATACGATGCTATCTGATTTGTACGAGGGGGCGTAGCCCCCGAGTATAAATCGGATTGCCGAGTGTTTTGGTGTTCTTTTGTATCAAAGTCAAAGATAAAAACACGTTCCCTGTTGTCACAATATGAAACCCCGGGAAAAAAGTAACCAGTGAACGAGCTTCTGAATATGATATTTCTGTCGCTTTCCCTTTCTCTTCTGTCACAATAAGTAAACCCCAGCAAAAATGAGCCAATCAATGGGCATGCTCTGGAGTGCGGATGACTAATACCTGCACTCAGGTTAACGCACTGTGCATGTATATAAACATGATTTAACTCTGACACATCTTCAACAGAAAGGTCCCCAAACTATGATACAATATACAGTTAAAATGGATTGTGTGTAATTGGGGAATCTACGATTGATTCATTATACAATTTGCAAAAATTTTCAACTGATGAAAATGGTTACTTTTGCTAAACTATACCCAGCACGTCTCTATCTCGAGATTTATTTGCTGACATGTCATATACAAACTAGCTCTCATTAAAGAAGGCTGCTGTCGGAGCTAAAGGTGCCAGTTTTTGATTTTGTCTTTACTGGTTTAAGCTAAGGTTGATCATACAGTGTCGTCAAATGAATGAATTATTCTCTGTTCTTATCTCTTCTTATCTCTGTTTGTTCTTAATGTAGTTTTATTGCTTTTAAGCTTAAATTATTAAAGGGACGATAAAAGCATGCCAAGAAGGATGATCTATTGAATTTAATCCGCGAAACATAAAATATGTGATAGACAGATGTAGGATATCATCGTAAATGGTTATGGTCAAAAACCATGAAATGAATATTCTTGATAGGATCAGATTTCACAGATCATAGCTGTATAAATGGGTTTGTGTTTTGATTCTAAATGAAATTATGAAATACAGCTTATTGTATGTTTATGACTGGAAGTTATCATCATTTGCTTTCAGAATAAAAGAAAATTAACTTCTTAAGTACACTTACAACGTGCTTGAAAATGTAAAGATAGTTACGTGGTAATTGTTACTTTTAGTTCAATTTGGATACATATATATTTAGTTGAAATGATTACAGTAATGTTCGGGGTGATAAAATACCTAACACATGGGATTGTGAGTAAACAGTTAAAAAGATCATCCCTCATAAAAATAGGCTACAATAGTGGTATTTATTTCCGTCGATCATTCTACTTACAATCTTAAACTGAATATATGTGCCCCACTGACGAAGTTGTAAACTTTTCGGTATTAATTAAGATTATATGTGCCTCCTTTGTTGAAGAGGCTACACCACTGTCATATATCGTTTAGTTTTTGCTTAAAATGTTACTGTTGCTGTTACAGTCATTTTTAGAAAATGATAGATTAAAATACATTCACCGGATTATTTTTAAGTATCATTTTGCTCTTTTTCTTCCCGTCAAGTTGAGCTGCTTTAGTAATACATTTCAAAAGACAGTTAATTGTAATAGTAATTGACTGATAATTGATATTGAAGAGTGTTAAGGATAAAATGTAAAAAACTACCTTTATTATAAAAAGACTGTCTAACTCTTTAAAGGTTGAACATAACTGATACATATTGAACGATATTTATAGAAATTTCCATTCGCAGTGTGGATTTATATGAAATTTTGCATAGTAAAAATAAAATAGAACACAATTTTGCCCAAATGTATTTTTTTACTTTTACCTAAGCACTCACCATTTACCCTTGAATTGGTATTATATCATTTTAATGTAAGAATGAAAATAAGGATACTGGTTCAAATTTACAATTTTGAGTCGGCAAAGTAGTAAAGTTGTTACATATTGTCCTTATATTGTGGCCCATGTATTGAGAAGAGAACTATTAAGACACATTTTGTCTTGACTCAATCAACAGGAACCATGACCATGACCTTAGCTTAAGAGGCAATAACTTTAATTACTAAGTTTTAGAAGTTAAATACATGGTGATTTTGACGGTAGGTGCTCGGATTTTTTTCCGGCGAACATTTTTATCTTGTGTATTATTATAGACGTTAAAATATTTATCTTTTACAACGGCTTATATTACGTTTACACATAATATGATAGTTACATGTACTGGGATTGACAAATATACATTTTATTTGGAATTTAAATGCGTTTTGCGCTCCATACCCCAAGTGTCTGAACAACCAACAAATTTACGTAAACGTCAAATTGTATTTCATAAGTTTAGTATTCAAATTAAGAAGTCACATAAGGTATAAAAATTGCAACTTTTGGTTTCGGGGTTAACTGTAGATCAATTGAATACTGAAATGACACTTTCAGATACTGAAATTTGACATTTACACTGTTAATTGCGTGATAAATTTCCCTTTCATGTTTACACGATTATTATATTATTACACCAACAATACTCTGCGTATAATCGTAACTCTGCAACATAAAGCAAAAGTAAAAGCATTAATGATGTGCTTATTAATAACGTTTCAGTGACTCTAGTTAATAGGAATAGAACTTTTTTATGTGTGTTTGAATCCCGTGCGGGGCTCTTAATAATTTGACGTGATAAAGTTATCTAGCAAGTTTTTGTATTGTCGTTGGTGGCCTCTTGTGTCCGAAATAATTCATGGAGGGGTACATGATGACTAAAAAGAAAGTCCACATATGAACATTAAAGTTTTCAAGTTTCCAGTTTATTGTAATGTAATGCTAGGCCATTGGCTCAAATAAATACACAATAATTATAATAACAGAAAGATACATATACATCTGATTGTGTCACAAGTTATGAAATACAAAATAGTAGCATATTCCATAATTTTTAACATTATACAACAAGGTAGAGAATATACATATTACCACAACCCTTAATGTAAAACACGTAGTATCAAGTTCCGAAAATGAAAAAAAAAAAATATACAAAATCTAGTCCTATTAATGCATGAAAAAAAAGAAAATCAGACTTTTGTTATGAAACACTATAAAATAGACATTCATGTAATTGTCTAGAAAAAAAGATTTGAAACCAATCAATTCTTATCAATATTAGTCATAAGTTTGGTTACATACAATGCTAAACTTTTTAATGTAGGATGATGTTCGGTTTTCATTAAGTATGAGAAATTAACTGGTTCTAGTCTTCCCTTATACAATTTAAACAGATTTTGTTGTCTTATACTATCAAACTTGGGGCAAATAAAAAAGGCACGATATTCATTTTCAATAACTAAACGGTTACTATTAATAAAACAGTATGGACATATTCTATCTGATCTCTCAATACCATAATGGCGCCCAATTTCTATGTTTAACCTATGATTTGAACATGTGAAACGCGCAAGAGATTTCCTAAAAAGAAATGGCAGTTCCACAGTTAAATATTGTTCAACATTCAATAAAGATTTAAATGAGTATATGTATCACATCTAGTAGAGGAATGGATGTCGTCAGACCAATTTTGTTACAAACAGTCAGCAATACGTTGTTTAAAAGAAAATATAAACATATTAAAATCTCCAATATCTTGGCTTATCCAAAGCGTCGTTTTGAATTCAATCCTTATCAAAACAAAGAAAAGATCAAGCATTTCTCGAGACAAAAGCTACTGTTATGTTTTATTTGTATAAGATATATTACATGCAAATACAAATAACGAAACATCTGACTTCAAATTATCACTATAACAGCGATTTGTATTTAACAATAATTTGAATATATTTTATACCAAAAGAAAGTAATTAAATAGCAACAAAAAGGTGAAATGTACCTTGTAAAGTTAAAAATTTACATCGCTAAGTCTAATTAATCAGTGTTACGACCTATTGCAACAATAACAATAAATTCTGCATAATTTTAGCGCTAATAATTTTGGTTTTGGATTACATGTAGATCTTACAAAATAACATTTCATGTACGCTTTGACTTTCATCTACTCACTATTGGTATACAATTGCCAGAATTAAATCTTCCTATTTATCAATGCCCCAGAGAATGTATTCCACCGGTATGAATCACCGTGATATATATTAGTGCCAGTATGACCGCCAACAACCTCAACCCATACCTTCTGTCCGGCCGTCACTATCGCAACTGTATCAGCAGATGAACATCCATAGCCAGCATCACCTCTGAACAATGACGTTGAATATCTTGTTCTTTCAACCATTATACTTATAATTAAGTTCTTCTCTGGATAAACACAGAAAGCTAAACTGAACATGTACACCCCACTGATGGGTGCTGTAAATTGTCCGGTATTTGGGTTATACGCATCTCCTTCTTTGAAGATTAATACTGGAAACACTATTGCCTGACCTATCACCCCTGCAGTACTCGAATTCAATCTTGCCTTAAATGCAACAGTTGGTGTTACAGTATCTAGAAAAGAAAAACATAATGAATAAACAAACAGGTGATTATATTTTTCATTGAAATCTTAATATCTTTTGTTACGACACATAATGTTAATTAACAATATATTTAAATGTAAGATCAAATATTTGTGTCAAATGTAATTTAACGAAGTAGGTTTATATTTATAGCTTTTGCGTCCGTTAAAAACTGATATGAAATTTAAGGATCATGACCTTGGCCATTTTAAGAAAGACGCATGTACCTTAACCGCTAAAATTGTCAAAAAATGAAACCCTAAAGAAAATTGAAACGTTGTATTGATGGTTGTGGCTATTTATGTAAAGAAAGGGGGTTTTGACAATATTCTACTTAGCTAATGTTTATTAAGCAACTTTATGTTGTGAAAGTGATGTGTTTTTAACACAGTTTCTTTATGAATCTTTCACTGAAAACACTGCAAAAAATGTGTGTAAATCAAATATTTATGGACAATTTAAAAATTATAAGATACTGTTCGAGAAATAATGGATATTGATCAGAGCTGCACCACAACAAGGGATATACAATGTAGTCCTTAAGTACCAGAACCAGTTCTCACCAACTTATGCAGAGCAAGTACAAGTAACCGCCAACTCATGCAGTCCAGTACCAGTACTTGCCAACATATGCAATACCAGAACCAGTATTTGCCAACTTACGCAGTATCAGAACCAGTACGTGCCAACATATGCAATACAAGAACCAGTATTCGCCAACTTATGCACTATCAGAACTAGTACTTGCCAACTGATGCAGTATCAAAAGCAGTACCAGTACTCGCCAACTTATGCAGTACACGCCAACTTTTGCAGTTCCAGAATAAGTACTCGCCAACTTATGCAGTACAAGTACCAGTACTCGCCAACTTATGCAGTATCAGAACCAGTACCAGTACTCGCCAACTTATGCAGTATCAGAACCAGTACTCGCCAACTTGTGCAGTATCAGAACCAGTACTTGCCAACTTATGCATAATCAGAACAAGTACTTGCCAACGTATGCAGTATCAGAACCAGTACTCGCCAACTTTTGCAATTTCAGAACAAGAACTCGCGAACTTATGCAGTACCAGTACCAGTAATGGCCAACATATGAAGTATCAGAACCAGTACCAGTTCTCGCCAACTTATACAAATACCACAAACATGTAAATATTAACTAACATTATTGAAGACAGCCTTTTTTCCTCTTCACACATTCATTTAGAAAATACACATCCCTATATTTCAAAGGCAAAGCAGTTATTGTATGAACATTGTTTGGATGCGTATTTGAACCACGTTAACAGTAATTATGACCCACTTTATAATTCTGTTCTGATAAAGACTGATTGATACAATCACACAGAATTGGAGTTGAGATTTAGAGTATTTATATCACCAATTTGAATATGCGGTATAATAAAGTTTTTCATGTAGAAAAACGTATAGATCTGTCATTATTGTTTGACTTTATTTACCTGTCAATTGTATATGAATTATACGGTCAATGTATACATACATGCATATCAATCTTCCATAAATTTTCAGTCAGTTCCGTGAGAAGTGATGTATCTGTTAAGTAATTAACTACGAGTTTATGATTTCTAAGTGCCCTCGAGACCGCGTTGGTCATGATTTTATTTTCTTAATTATATTTTCAACATTATTGAAGTTATGATTGTTTTTTATATTGTTTGATTTGTTTTAATATGTTTTGCAGTCTATGTACCTGTTAAATAATATTGTTGAAGAATTAAAATTCATTCTGATTAAAATAAATAGATGTCATTTCAATGCCAAAAACACAAAACAATTGAGATCTAAGTTACTTCATATCCTTGTTGACAATTATGCAAGCACCCGGTAATTTCCATTTAAATATTCTGCAAAAATAAAAGTGTATGGCTAAAACAATGGCAACAGTAGGGATCGAACCCCAGACCTCCCACATATAAGGCAATTGTTTAACCGACTATGTTTTTGCAGATGAGACGATGACCTTTACACTAAGCTTGTGCGACTTTCAAAACATTAGTTATATACTCCAATTTAATTTTCGTAATCTATACGGACAAAACCGAAAATGGATAGGATATTTAAAGTAGTGTTATAATGTATTCATAATTGGCAGGTCAATAAAATCAGACTATACCAAATTGAGGACATCTGCAAATCGCGTGGCCGAAATGTTCAAAATAGAATTGAAAGAGGTGAAAGAACATGCAATAAATGTAAATCTAGAGACATTTAGGATGAATTCCATATGATATTTGTGTGCACACTACATTGATAAATATTTCTATGTTTAAACTTTCTGAGCTGCTTCCAACCACTATTGAAATAATATTGACTGACTCAGCTTGTTTCCTTGATTGTGCTTTAAAGATAATTTATTGAAATTATTGTTAAATGTTAAAAATTCACTTATTGTCATTTACGCCAAGAACATTATTTCTTGTTGACATGATACTGATATATATTTTATACATTATTTTGTTATATGTACAACTGTTATTTTCAATATTGTATGAGTGATGATCAAGATTTACCCTGAATAAAACAAAAGATTCTGATATACTTGATAAAACGTTCATATTTCAAACACTATAGACCTTTTTATACTACGATATTTTCATAGAAACTGATGTAGAATTTCGAGCATGCGTATTCCGTGTATGGCGAAAGAAAAGATTTGATAGTTATCAACAACTTCATTAATTATTTGATATAATCTACATAATTAACCATAACACTTGAACATTTCTGCATTTACGCATTACTTCAGGGTCTTTTATATTTGAAAGATCTTGAATGAGACATTCTATTCTGGCAAAAGAATATTCGTATACAAGCATAAGAATTTAAACAGGTCTTGCATTTAAGTGTGCTGAAATGCGTCGCTTGGATACATCGTCATTAAAATACTCGTTAATGGTGTCATTAAAATGTATCCGGGGATAAATGACGACTATTATTTAGTTTTTTTATTATAACTGGAGACATACAAACGGGCAAGTACTGGTTCTGATAACAAGAACTTTAAAACAAGGTATTTTTAAGTTTGTTATAAAGTAACTATTACACAATACAAATATATTCCCGTATGATCATTAGCGTGGTAAATAATAAAAAGTCGCAATGCCTCGGACCTCATAGCATTTTAGTACTCCCAAGTCAAATCCAGACCTTAAACATACCTCAGCATTTTTTTGTTGGATTTTATGTTGCCTCATACCTAAGAGGACATATAGTGATCTTTCACCTTACGTGGGAAGGAAGAACTTACGTACCCCTCTTATTTTATTTCTGACACGAACGGCTTAAAAATAGAACAACCTATATTTCGTAAGCTAGTTTGCTCTAGATTCGAACGCAAACCGGTGTGGGCAGGTAGTTTAAATTCAGAAAACTTAACCACTCGACCATAGAATACCCCCTAACCGATCGGTTCTGCAATGCTATGTGGACATCAGTGTTAGATAATATTGATAAATTAAAACACTTTACTCCAGATTTGATTGTCTTTTTATACTACTTTTAAATTAATTCTACCTTGAATCATCATATCTTACAACACATCCTCAATAATTCAACGAAAATTAAAAACAACTAAAGAAATTATCTTCAATGTATCTAAAAAATAAGTAAATGTGACGTTATTTTACCTTGAAGTTCAATAAGCTTTGCCTTAACTGCCGATGTGACATTACTGACTTCTACCATACTGATCTTAAAACCATTTGCAAGTTCTTGTTGATTTGCTTTCATTTGATCGCTAACTTCCGTCTTGATATGTTTCAACACTTTTAACACATTGCTCTACCTCAAGTTTCAGTCTCTCCATTTGAAACTCTATGCGTACCATTTTTTCCAGCATCTTTTCCTCAAAATCATATTTAGAACAGCGAGGTTCTTCACAATTCCTACCATTTGTTAACAGAAAAAGAAGAAACACTATTTTAGAGAGCGACATGTTTCACGATAGACGTTCCTTGAATGAATAGTATTACCTCCAAGAACTGTTTATTTGTTAAATTATGTACCTAAAATACCACCTTTTCAAAATGAAATTAGCATGTTTTATAACTCCTGGATGGTTTTCGATATAAAGATAAAGAATCACTTTGTTTCTAGGTAAGTGCTGTGAGACGTCTTAAAAATCATTTTAGAATCGCTTAATTTTCCAGCGTTTTTTTTTGCTTTTGTACCAAAAAATATATTTTGGAACATCAAAAACAATTTAGCAGATGTAATGCACTTTATTTTGCAATGATAATTTACCGATAGGTCTATTTCCTTTTCAAATCATCAAACAATCATACCTTCTATAATTTCTGTCTTGACTGTGAGCAGGCAGCTTGTTGGACCATTTCCAAGTTATATTTTCAGATATAACTTTCAATAAGATATCCAATATTCCCAAAAGGTCATTAGATCAAAATAACATACCCGTTCCTTGTACTCATATTATTGTGATCGAGATCATTATTTAGAGGTGAATACTTGGTTGCTGCTCGCCAATAAGGGACAATGGCCCGAAGATGTGCATCATGGCATGAGGGCCGCATGACCTAAGGCTATTATAAACTTGAGGACCATTATCACATAATGGCGGGCAGCAACCAAGTATCAACGTCTTTCCTATGTCCGGAATACGGCGTATAGACATCACCGCTTATCTTAATTGTCGCCCTTTCTAAAAAACGGACAATGTTGCCAATGTAAACAAATATCTGTCATTCAGTTTAATCCTCCGATTAACTTAGAAAACATAATAACACAAAATATATATGTGAAAATGTTGTTTTATTGTTGTTTATATCGATAAATACACTTTGTGTTTTGTGCGAATAACATTTAGTGCCAGTTTTTTATTCTGATGTCTAGCTCAGCATACCACCGATCCGATCTTTTTTTTATACCGTCAATCTGAAATCATATTTTGAATTTCAGAGGGTCATGTTTTCTCTTAGATAGAGTCATTGTATTCTTTAATTTTCTTGTGTTTATAAATATTCAGTGTAAAGCGGTGTTGACTGGGATTTATTATGTCACTTTTAAACTAAAGATTTTGTGTGAAAGCGACTACAGTTTATTTAACGTCAGCAGCCATCTTGAAAGTCACTAAGAGTTGAATACGTCATTTAGCACGCGCGCACATTCACTCGCCCATTATGTAGAAATAATGCCGAGTAGCAAGGCGGATAAAATTGCATAATCACATAGATCTTGTTATAATTGCCTTGCAATACCCTAGATTTTGTTACTATATGAAGTATCATAAGTATTAACGAAGATTAACGGAAACGGCGAAAAAGATGCGATTGGCGTGACAATTTCAGAATATAAAATGAAAAAAAAAAAAAAAATGAAAAAAAAAACAAAAAAAAAAAAAAAACAAAAAAAAAAAAAAAAAAAACACAACAAGAAACAAAACGTTTGATGGAAAACTTACTTGAATGTGGTAAAAACCCTTGCCATGACTATGATACCACAAATTACTCGCGGATGTTGGCCAAGAACCCTGCTTCCATGGCTTACTAACTTTGTTGACATATTTTAAATTTAGTAAGAGAATGAGCAGCAATATTTGTAAGATCAAAATATAGTATCGGTTGCATCTCTTGTCCTACCACTTGATAATGTGTATCACGTGATTGATGCACAAAACAGATATAAAGCACCTATAGTTATGAATCGTCCATAGTAATAAAGTGACGTAACCAATTATGTCTCCTAAACTGTAAGGTCAAAAACATTATACTGTTTCTTTTCTTATTTATGCATATAAAATAAAAACAAGTTCAAAAGTTTATTGCGTGGAGAAATGTTTTAAACTTTTATTGGAATTTACACCAATCGGCTTTTCGTCTATAAGTCTTTGCTAGAAACTGTAAAATATTTATTATAAACGCATGCCTATATACCATTCCACTTTTTACAGAATCAAGAATGACAACTTAAAGCAGTGTTTCATTTATTTTAGCCAAATAGTAAAAAAAAAAATTAAAAAAAACCTTAAAAAAATTTAAAAAAAGTTATAAAAATATGGATACTTTCAAAATTTTTTATTTTTATCAATTTTAGAATTTTTTTTGGCGGAGTTTTTAATTTGCACTTATTTAAAAATATTTCAAAATGCATGCTTTTTTTTTCTTTTGCATTTCATGGCTCATATCAGAAAAAATGTATATATCAGGTTAAAAAATGCCCAAATTTTTCAGACGACCTGTGCAAAAATAACAAGTGAAAAACAAACCCACCCCTTTTTCACGGGATTGAAATGATCAAATAAAAGTAATGCAAAAAGTATAAAATAGTTAACCAAAAAATACGCAAGTCAAATTTGTGTTTTTTCACTTTTTTAAAATGTTTTTATAAAAATTTTTTGAAAAAGCTTTAAAGAAAAAACTTATCAGTTTTTGTTTGGGGTCCTCCTGGGCTCCTTGTTACTGGGTCGGGTGGGGGCTGCGTTCAATGAATGCCGCCGTTCCTTGCTGATCTTGTTTATCATATTTCTTTAATAAAAGAAGTTACCTGAGCCAACAGGGAATGACGATTTAAAAAGATAATAATTGATTTTATGATCTAATGTTATATAAAAAAAAATCTGACATTTCCAAAACAAAGTTTTATTTTCAGGAAAAGTCAACAAAAAACATTTAAAAATGACAAAGCTTGAAGTACAAAGTTTTTAATGAAATCCCTATGATGTATGTGACTAAGATTTTAAAAAAATCACATGGTTTGGCCACCTTGGAATTGGAGCAAATCAAAATTCATTTACTTAAATGTCACGTCTGCGACAAAATATACGGACTACTTATCCACACTTTACAGGAATGAACAGAACTAAAAATCTGGAAAAAGTGCAAACCCTTGGAAGCATTATTTTCAACAAAATAACATGAACATGTTGCCCCGTACTTCACTTCAGTGTTGTTATATTTTCTGGTCCTTCGGGATCATTGATGCCAACACTATAAAGTGTTGAGAATTGAGTACCACTCAAGCCGGTGCTAGGGGGCGTGAGGGATGTTGCACTTTTTCATTATCCCTCATGTACAGACTAAATCAAACCGAGTCTGCAATTCTTATGTTATTTTGTTGTGATTAATGCTTCCGAGGGATCACTTTGTTTCCAGAATTTTGATTGAGTCTGTCTGTATATGAGGGAAAATGAAAAAAGTGCAACATTTTTTCCTCAATTTTCAACACATTAAAGTGTTGGAATCAATGATCCCGATATCAAAAAATGTATAACATCACTGAAGTACAGGGAAACTTTTAAAGCTGCAATACAGCACTTGACACCTGCTGTTGTGAAGTGTAAAAATCTTGAAAAAGTGTGACCCATTCGGAAGCATTAATCACAACAAAATTAAATGATAAATGCAGACACGATTTTATTTTGTCTGTACATGAGGGATAATGAAAAAGTGACACCTCCACAATCCTCCCTAGCACCGGTTTGAGACATAAAAGTGTCTGAATAGACCAGCAAATAAAGCAGCACTGAATTGTATACGGGGCAACGTTTACGTTGCGTTCATTGAACGCCGCCTTTCCTTGTTGATCTTGTTTATCATATTTTTTACAGCTGACACAATGCAATTGACACTTGCTGAGTCTCGTTTGCCTATCAGAGTTATTTTCCAGTTTCTAGTATGATTTTTGTCAGAGTTATGACTCTTTAATGTTTTTTTCATTTTAACCATATTTATTTGAACCTAGTACTTGCGCATTTTCAAGTTGTTTTATTTACGTGAATGATTTTTGAGTTGTGGCCTTTGACTAAAGATACGTTTTTGCCTTTTAATGATTTTTTGGTAAAAAACGAGCATTAAGATCAACAAGGCAAAGACAACGCTCACAGGACGCAGCCCTCAAAGTAACTGCTGAATTTGCTATCATCAGGCGACACATGTATTTTACTGATAACTCTTGTTTTGTATTAAATTTATTGGTATGAGAGCAGTATCCGTCGGCTAGTGGCATCCCATTATACGATTACTTTGTTAACTGCAACACTTCAAAATGGAAGTTATGTTTTTTTTTATAATTCAATCATTAGATCATTAGATTTTTCAAGCAGGTATGTTTTCATTTTTCACATTGGGATTTCAAGTGCTATTGCTGCACATGCGCAATTATAACTCTATCAGGCCGTAATTAAACAATTCCTCCACTTTACAGACGACTTCGCATAAATAAGCATTTATTACAAAAAGTCAAATAGTAGATGTTATTTGGTCAGATCGATGTGTAGATTTATTTTATGATTGGGTTTTAATATCAAAATAAAGCAAATGATCACAGTAAAAAGAAGCACTTGTCATTTTCAAAAAAGGGTATACAATACATAAGCCAATAGTTTCTGACCACGTCTTATAGATCCACATATAAGAACAAAAAAGGCCCATAAAAATAAAAGACTCAGGATATAGTAAAACAGAATCCCTTAAGAAAGCCCAACACGGCATTATTGAAAATGTTGCAGGCTCGGTTTGATTGAGCCTGTTCATGGACGGTACTGGAAAGTGCAAGTTACGCCCCCTAGCAACTGCTTAAGCAGAATTCAACATTTAACACGAAAATGGTAAAGGTCAGTAAATTACGTGAGCCAAGTTTTCCTCTAATAAGAATAATGGTTAGACTGTATGTTCAGAGAATTTAGTTTTTTGTGTGTGTAAACGTACGATGATGAAAACGCGATGGCACGATGGTGAAAACGCGATGGTACGATGATGAAAACACGATGGTACGATGGTGAAAACGCGATGGCACGATGGTGAAAACGCGATGGTACGATGGTGAAAACGCGATGGTACGATGGTTAAAGCGCGATGACACGATGGTGAAAACGCGATGGCACGATGGTGAAAACGCGATGGTCCGATGGTGAAAACGCGATGGTACGATGGTTAAAGCGCGATGGGCGTTGGTGAAAACACGATTGTACGATGGTGATAGCGTGATGGCACGATGGTGAAAACGCGATGACACGATGGTG